AACCTTGAATTCTAGGCATGTTGTAGCACAAGATAATTAGTGTGCAGACCATTTTCATTTATATAGTGCTCTGTGAACACAAATTAGTTAGCATAAATCAGTTAAATGACGAAAAATTAGGTGTCTATTTACTTGTGACCACTCAGTGTATATCCAAACCTACCGATATAATTTAATATCCATATCGATACTTATAGATAAGGCCATGATTCAATATTTGGGCCTAGAGGTGAGTGTAAATCTGACTTTATAACTAGTGAGATCTAATATACACCGGTAAGAGTATTTAAAACTTATTTGAATAAGTTTTTCTGTTGTAAAGATATTTCTCGACATCTTAAGATGTAATGTTTTCGTAGAAGTTGATCTTACAAATATTTTTCATGTATCGAGCTGTTATTTACTGATTGGGTTTACTTTTTGTTTTAGTATTGTTGTTTTGTAGCGCAAAGATAAACAATAGGCTATCTGCGTTCTATCCACCGCCGGGAATAGAACCCCGGATTTTAGCGTTTTTAAGTCCGTAAACTTACCGCTCCCCCACCGGAGGACCGTATTAAGGTTAAGAATTATAATTCTTTATTTGTTAGATGTTTTTTCAGCTTTTCAGATAAATAAGCATGTTTCGAATGTTTACTTGAGTACTATAGTTTTTCACTAAAGTGGCTGTCAATTCTAGAAAATAAAATTCATGAAATACAAAAAAAAAAATTTACCCACTAGTTTTGTTTAACTTGCTTAGCACAAATACTTGTTACACTGGTCAGGCGTGGCTTGGTGGCTAACGTGTTCAGACTTGAATACAAGAATTGATGGTTCGCGTTCCTTTGCTGACGAAAAAAACGCACTCCCAACTTTCAGACAGTGGATGCACTGTGTTTGTTTTAATGAGCTATCTGTGATGTGCCCACCTCGGGTATCGAAACCAAATTTTTAGTGTTATAAGCCCTCAGACTTACTGCTGGGCTCCTAGTGGCCAGTGTGCTTTATGAGAGTGAAGGTCAAATCCTGCTATTCAGTCAGACAAGAGTAGCCTAAGAGTTTGTAGTTGGTGCTGATGACTAGCTGCTTACACTCTAGTTTATCAGTTCAAAGTTAAGGATGGCTATGCGTGATATAGCCCTTTATATAACCTTTGAAACAGACTATTAAACAAACTTGTTACAACACACAGCACCATCTGTAATGTGGAAACATATCAAGTCTTAATGTGAAGGATTTGCTTTTGATTTATATCTGAGTTTATTTTTAGATGTAATCCACTTTTTATAGGTTTCGGTTTTCGTGGGATAGGATCTTCCAAGATGAAGAACGCCCGATCTTCCAGTTTATCCTCAGTATCAGCCCCACAAGTGAGTGGTTGCATCGGACTTCTTAAATATCTGATATTGTGTATAGTTGATAAGTACCCTTCGATTAGTAAGGATTTTTATATAAATCATATGCAAACATTTAAATACAGATTGAAAAAAAAAACTTATTCCTATGATAGAATGAAAAAAGGTAAAGAAGTACAGTTATATACATTTCACACACACACACACACACGAGCCAGGCCTGGCCTAGTAGTTAATGTGCCGGATTGTGAACCCGAGAGTCCAAGATTCGAGTCCCATTGACAGGAAAAATTCGTGCTTCGTTATAAGAGTGCCTGTTGACTAGTTGTTTTCCCTCTTGTTTACCAGTTGAAAGTTAGGGACAAAACAATCAAAATATGTAAATTTTAGTTGAATTTTTGCATCTATTTTCGACTTGTAAAAACATCATTATTCCAAACGTAAAGTCACCACAGTTATCCACTCGTGATATATCTATGGTAGACACTTTGTTTGTTGTTAAGCGCAAAACTACACAATAGGCTATCTGTGCTGTGCCCACCACGGGTATCGAAACCCAGTTTTTAGCGTTATAAGCCTTAAGACCTACCGATGTGCCACTAGAGGCATTTTCTTTTTATGGCAAAGTAGTCGAATCAAAATTTACTTGTTTGTTTTCAGACATTAGAAAATATTTCGCATTGTTTTGGGTCATCAGAATGTGACACGTCATGGATGGCATCAGTAACTAGGAACCACTCCTCCACCGACTTTCCTAATGAAATAAATGATGGCTCAGAAGATAAATATGAAGAAGTTGAAAACGAAGAATCAGACAGAGATGATATTAACTGTAGAGCTTTCCCGAAAACGCATCCTCATGTTCCAAAAAACACAGTAGAAAATGAAGTACCAGAAACAGCGAACGGAAGTGACATCACGATTGCTCCACAAGAGCCACCCAGTGAAAATGAAGATGAGATGATGCCGTTATATCTTAACCTGTTAGGTCCTGCCAGAGAATGCTGGAAAATTCACCAGAAACTTCGACAAGAAGGCCTAAAAGTACCCTTCAAAACGTTGAACAGGTAAATAGCTCGAGAGTTTTGTCGTCCTAAGATAAATAATATTGTTATTAACCCTAATTCTGATTTGTAAATGACTCATATTGCATTCACAGAAATGATTATTTATTAACTTAGTCTAGTGCACTCTATGACAGTTGTAGTTCATACATTTTGATAGTAACAATATCGTCTCAGCCACAACTGTGTCTGTTGTATCCCACTTGGCCTGATGATGTCTAGTATTGGATGAAAGGTTTCGTCAATATATATATAGTGTGATTGACATATTTTAATATATTTTTCTTTACTTTCACCAATAAATTCTTGGAACAGCACAAACCAAATGGTTATTTTACAGCATTATCAACAAAACGTATTTTCATGTTTTATTTGTTATTAAAAGCAGTGTACCTATTTATTTATCATTATGGCAAAGTTAGGCCTATCTGCTGCCGTCAATTATTGCTAGGAAGACTGTATTTCTGTATTCTTATGGAGAAGTTAGGCCTATCTGCTGCCGTTAATTATTACTAGGAACACTGTATTTGTTTATTCTTATAGCAAAGTTAGGCCTATCTGCTGCCGTCAATTATTACTGGGAACACTGTATTTCTGTATTCTTATGGAAAAGTTAGGCCTATCTGCTGCCGTCAATTATTACTAGGAACTCTGTATTTGTTTATTCTTATGGCAAAGTTAGGCCTATCTGCTGCCGTCAATTATTACTAGGAACATTGTATTTGTGTATTCTTATGGAAAAGTTAGGCCTATCTGCTGCTGTCAATTATTACTAGGAACACTGTATTTGTTTATTTATTATTATGGCAGAATTAGGCTATCTGCTGTAATTTCTAATTTCGAACAACTCACCAGAAGGAAGGCAGCCAGTCAGCATCACCCTACCACTATCAACCACGCTAAAGGATTGACTGTCACTCTTATAATGCGCCTAAACCTTAAAGTGCGAGAAATGTTTAGAGATGTCGCACGGACACTAAGAACAAAATAGATAAATATGTTTGATACTCAACTTTCTGTTTTATTTTAAACTTTTGCGGTTTTTAATAAGACTAAAGGTATATGTTTTTTGTTAAGTATTGATTGTTGTTACGCGTGAACACCATTCTCATGATGATTGGACTAATAAAGAAAGTACATTATCTTTATGACAGGGCTTTACTGACTCCAACGGAGATGCGGGAATTAAACGAACTAAAAGAAGTTCAAACCACGTGAAGACCTCATTTTTGATTGAAAGTTACGTGCAAGAAAAAGGAGCGACGACTTTGAGGGACAAAATCATAGAAAATATTAAAGAATTGCTTTAATTTATTATTTGAATTTGTAACAAGAAGTATTTGTTTCCATGTTATATAACTTAAGCATTTAAAATGTTTATTGTTTGGGTTTTTGCAGCATAACAATAAAAGTATAATTTAAAAAAATCATTGTAGTTCACATCAAACCACTAGGGGATTCTTCTTATAAAATAATAACAGTAAAATATAGAATAATCACGACAATCAATTAAACAGAATTTATGGGTTTTTTTTGTTTTTTGTTTTTTTTCATTATACAGGGTGTCCGAAAAGTCTGAAATCATAGGTGATTTGCAGCTTTTCAAGACACACGGTAGTGTGTCGTGCGGCCAAAACAACCATTTGCAGGACACACTGTGTGATGTTAACAGGAGTGATAGTTTAGCGATTTTCCACCTTCTGTATGTTGGACTGTGATAATCCAAACTATTACTATTACATATTTTCAGTCTACTGAACTCTTACTTCACATACCAAATTGGAAGACAATCTATTAAGAAATACCTGAGATATAACATCTCCAAATTTGATTGAGTTTCTTCCTTGATTGAGTTTCTACGTACCAAAAATACAGAAACTTTATTTGATAGAAAAACATACTCAACCTTTATAGTTGTTTTTTTTCAAATTTGGTACACCAATAGATCTTTTCAACCTACAATTCGTAGTCTCATTTGGTTTAAATATAAGACACATATACAAAGTTATTCAACAAAAACCGCTGAAATTTGATGAAATTGTTTGCGCACACCTACGCAAAAAGTCACTGAGCTATCGGGCTGAAATTTTTACTACAGCTTCATCTAAGAGTAAAAGTGGATCGTTTTTGGCTTTTGTCATTTGGATTAAAGTCGGTTGATTTAGAGCAGCAAAACTATAAGATGAAAAGACATGTAGTATTGGTTAGGCCAAGCAAAGTAGATTAGCAGTTTCTAGCTCAAGTTTTTAAAAGAATCATACAGTGGACGGTTATTCTTCATTGCCAACTTTTCAACACACATTTACTAAATTCTATGAAATTATCCTAATTAACGAGCATTTAGCGGCACATGCTATTAGCTTAAGCAATTAATATCAAAAATGATGCTTGATACGACTGTACCGATTGTATAGGGGTGATGACAAGAAACTGTTAATCTAAATTCCATGGCGTTATTATAAGGAAGCTATTAACACTGTTTTAGAGAGGAAAACTACCAACATATATTTTAAAGAATCTGGTTGGTTCTGTAAAGTATAGGTCTGTTTCAAATAATAGGGTTGCGATCCTAAGACTAGTGTTGATTACTATTGAGTGTCATGAATAGGGTATTTTCATAATCTCAAACAAAGTAAACTTGTTTCGGTTTACAAAGGTAAAAATCAGATTTCAATACCCGCAGTGGACAGAGTACAGATAGCTCATTGGATAGCTTTGGATTTAACAACAACTAAACCACTGTTGTTACATGTTATAAACAGTGTTGCTGTAACTTACTGCAAAATCTAAATGTGCCATCTATCTGTTATTTTATTCTTAGAGATGATAAATAATTTAGGTTTGAAATTTATCAAATAAAACAGTAGTTTTGTTGCCAAAATAAAAATAGGTAAAAGAAGAAACAAAACAACTGTAGTATTTTCTGTTTACATAGTTTGCTGATTATTCATAAAATATTCGTGTTTATTACTCTTCTTCAAAAGCAATGATGGCAAATGTTTTTCTTTATCATTAGCAGTTATACAATATTTCGTTTATCAGCTTTGCTTACGTTTGATTTTAGAGCCCCCTCCAAGTTTTACACAAAATTTCTTTGTGCAGTAATAAAATCATATTGGTGCAAATGTTCTTTTTTGAGGTGGGGGTATAAATGTAAAGAGAGAAAACGCAGTGTGCACAATTTTGTAAAGTTTGAGTATAAATATGTAAGATATTCTTTAAAATGGCTTTCAAAATAATCTATCTTTCGTCATTAAGCCTAAAAAGTAATAAGCATACTAAGTGCAGTAGAGAATGCTGGAATGAGCGCTTGCAACGTCAACACCTAGCGACCACAGCTAGTGTATCCTTACTTTATATCTCTCAAATTTTACGTTATATACTAATTATAGGCTAGTGGCATGAGAAAAAAAATAAATTCAATCTGCGTTTACTAAGCTAAGACAATTTCTTAATTATTTTTACTTGCAAGTAAATATTTACTATTGAAAGCATACCATATCAGCGGGGAATAAGAAAGAACATCGATTAATAAAAATTGAAAATATCCTCCTCCCCTTCATCCCTCACTATTATTTTCAGCGTTTATTTTGTATAGCTGAACTAAAAATGAGAGTGTCATCTCGTGCTACTGCTGCTTCCAACTCTTTCTCACACGTTGTCATCTTTAAAGGTAACATATTTTTCAATCCCATGCGATATACTTGATAATATGTGTAATATTAGTAGTATTCTGATCTGTTTATTACTTTTCTGTAATGATTACAGTGTAGGTCTCCTGGGTTGATGTAACACACAATATTAAAGTCATCCAAAAATGCTTTAGTGAAACAAAAAGTTAAAATTCTGCTTTAGTTAAAACAATGAATGCTATCTCATAAACACTGCAAAATGAAACAACTTGAAATTACCCACATTACATCATATATTCTTGTGATATAAAAACCGGATTTACACTCAGTTTTTGCTCTTAATTCATCTAAGAATCATCACTGAGTCACAATGAACAAAATGTGATGTGGTTAATTAGGGCTAAGCTGAATGTAAATTCAGTTTTAAAATACGACAACAAATGGTGCAATATGGGTATTTTCAACTTCCTATATTATTCATGAAATATCACGTATTGTTTAGGGTAGAATATGATTTTGTTTTCCAAATAACATTTAATTTACAAAATAAATTTGTTAAATTTCAAATGGAAACGCAATAGTTCAAGTACCAATTTGATAATTACACAATCTCACATGCGAGCTGGTGATTAAAATATGGTAAAAATGAATCCAATCATACAAGTTAACCTAAAAATTCTGAGTTTCAATTCACCAACAATACTTGAAACTGAAACTGTAAATGCAAAGCAAATATCCCAAATTAAGGTAAATTCGAATCCAATTAGGGATAATCAGTATTTTGTATAAGAGTATTGTGCCTCAAACTGTAGTCCTAATTTTTAGAAGCACGTAAGACAAAACAAAAAGAAAATAGCAAAGAAGCTAAATCACGATTCAATACACCATTAATAAAAGGTCTTTCAGATGATAGATCCTTTTTCTTCGTGGATTAATTCCCAATTTTGAATCTTTATTTAAGTACATTGTTCTAAGATACGTAAATTAGCATCCAAGTTCGAGTCTTCCAGTTGATTAGACTTTAACTTTGGGCTCCTCTTCCCTTTTCTTTAAAGGAATGATTATATTTATATGTAAATTGTATTTGTAAATATTGTTACGACAGCGGAAGCCACGTGACCCTGGTAACATGTCATGAGTTTCTAGAACGATCATGACTGCTCCTGGCAACTCTAGTGTTTGCCAGACGCCCTCTATTTTGTATATAAGTCCGGCAAATGATTGCATAGATAGTGTTGCGTCAACGAGTCACGTGACCACTGTGGCGCCCTCTAGTTTCTAGAACTATCTTGTTCTTTCGGGAATGCTCTAGTAATTGCTCGATGTAGGGTGGGCTGGTATATATAAAGGAGGGGAATGTGAGGTGGGTAGATAGTCAGTGAGTAATTGAACTGCAGTCACAGGGTATCGTTGAAGTTAACGTTCGTTCACTCGTGATACTGTTT